CTGCCATGTGATTGGTTGATTAGATAATTGCATTAATGAGAAATTCAACAGGTGTTCCTAATAATCCTTTAGGTGAGTGTATATATATATATATATATATATATATATATTATATCCCGGGTATGACCTAGTACCCCATTTAGGGTGTTCCCTGCCTCGGCCTGTATGCCACTGGAAAAGCGTCCAGCTGCACCCATGACCTTGTGTTGGGCAAGTGGTTTGGAGATGGATAGATACGGTATCTGATGCTTGTGTTCTTTCACTGGGGTACAGACATGGTGCAGAAACCTTCAGACCAGGCTCTTCAGCTACAGCACTGTGTCAGAATCCAGCTCTTAAAACTGACATGTTTACAATAATATTCACAAAAAAGCTTAACCCTTTGTTGTGCAGGAATACATTTATTGATTCTAAATATCTTTTTGCATTGCAAACAGTATGAAGAGTATCTTTTTCAAAGAATAAAGCTAGATTGCACATACTCCACATAAATTTGTTAATATTATATTCACATAAGTAATTATAACAATTACAAACATATTTCCATATTGATTACAGTACCTATAAATCAAGAGTGTCAGACTTTTCATTATAAAGGAGAAATTCATTTTAATGTTTTTAATAATTGCTTAAATTCTAGAAGAAATCCCAGATTTTCTCAAGATAGAACGACTGACTTCCTTCAGTGAACGGCAACCTAAAAAAAGAGAAAGAACTTCACCGTAAAGTATCATTAAATCATTATCAATTCAGTAATGTTTATAATCAATCTAAATATAAGGGGCATATATTTTTCTTCTTTAGCTGGACCTTTATAGGGCCAGACAGCGGCTGAGTGGGAGCCGCTGCTGCCACAAGCGCCACTAGGGGCAGTGTGAGGTCACAGTGGGGGTCAGAATCCAGTCTGTTCTCCCCGCGGTGGGAGGCTTTCCTCTGGGCACGCTAGTTTCCCCCACAGATACGCAGTTTTGGCTAATCGGCATCTCTAAATTACCCATAGCATATGATTGTGAGTGTATGTATATGAGCTGTGATGTGCCCCCCCCCCCCCCCCCCCCCCCCCCCCCCCCCCATGACCCAGGCCAGGATAAACAGTTAAAAGATGGATGGTTGGACCTTTATACTTTTTTAGAATATGAGGTATGACTTGTACCTGTCAGTGCTACTGCAAGGCGAAGTTCTTCTCGCACCAAACGTAAAATCTCTCTGACGCCTTTTTCACCCTGGGAGAGATACAGTCCCTTATTTCATCATGGTGCTGTTTCCTTCTCGATTACATTCTAGACCCACACTTCAATCTTAAACAGGGATACATATGAATATTGATACATACTGTATATTTACCATGCTGACTCACATTGTATCTGATATGCAGAAATGGTAATGACGTAGATAAAAAGGTTTAGCCTTTGAAATAAACTAGTGAAAATACAGAGACCCACTTTTAAATATATCAAGCTTAATTATATATTGTATCACAAGTTTTTCCAAAAAAAAATGGCATCTATTTCTTTGACCAGTAACCTGACAGTAGACTAACAATTATGGACATAGGTTTGGTTTCAGCACTGGAGGGATCAGATTAGCCTCGACCCCCCCATCCACCTGAAGACACACAGTAATCCCACAGTATCCTATCATCCATAGCCACGACTATGCCTATGCTAACGATGAGCATATCAGAGCAGTGACAAAGTGTAATTTAGCAATTATGCATAATAAATAAATCACTGCTCTGTTTAATGTCATTCCTTTCTGACCTAATCTAATCTAGCATAACAAAAGAATTAACTGTGTGTCAGGACATCCTTGAAATTAATATACGATTAGAGGCAATCTGAATGTTAATCACATGCATTGCATTAATTCGATGCTTTTGTCCGAAGCAACGAGAAACAGACAACTGGTTTAGGCAGGCCCTCAAGCTCAAGGGCACAACGGCAGTGGCATTTGGCCAGCCATGGGATTTGAACCAGTGACCTTCTGATACACACACATAGCAAACCAGCTGCTGTGCAATGTTGTAAACGAGCGGTCTCATACGTCACAGCTGAGTCCCCAGAGGATGGGCCGTCCCAGGAACACAGCCCTCGCACCCAAAGCCAGAGCCTTCAGCACATCTGTCCCCCTCCGTACTCCCCCATCCAGGAAAACCTCTACTCTTCCACCCACTGCTTCCACAATCTCCGGGAGGGCGTCAATCTGCGTGGGGATATTGATTAAAGACCCGGAAATGTGTTAGCGGTTCGATTGCAAATACCAGCACGCTGTCCAGGTTTATAATTTCGGAGTACTGATTGAACATCGCGTGAACAAAGCAGAAGCAGGAAATGACATCATCAGTCCCTTGTGCTCCATGTAGACCTACATTCAGTGGTAAATCCAGATGTTCCCTAAATGGTAGCTGCTCCCATTTGTGTGCTAATACTCACAGTAGCCAAAACACCGTCCAGCTGTCGGGCCCCATGGTTGGAGACAAGTATTCCATCGATGCCATATTTGAGAGCCTCCTTGGCATCTTCAGCTGGAAAGAACAAAGAGGCCAATTTCAGATATCATAAACTGGATTTCCTTTATGGACCTTTATGGACCTCTCATACATCTGCATCACATTGCATAGTTGATATACCTGTCTCCAGAAGGCACTTACATCTTCTACTTACAATTAATGCCTGACACTGGCATTCTATCTGTGGCACATCTATGTTTTATGCCCATATGATTCCTGGGACAGGATCCCAGTCACCATGACCTCTGACCAGGAAAGAGCATAGAAGATGGATGGATGGATGGATAGAACCCTGACAATTAGGGTATTACCTCCAGAAATATTTCAAAGTAACTTTGCAGGTATGGGTTTTTGCAGTAATATTTTTGTCGCATAGTGTGCATTTAATCAGTACAACGTACTTGGCAGAAAAAGAAAATGATTTGAAAAATGTCATCAATATACCGTATAATGAAAGGCAATGGGGGAGAAAATTTGAACGCTCTATTTAATACTCCTGGATCACTCACCGGTCAGAATCCCTTTTAACACCACTGGCAGGGTCGTCATGCTTTTCAGCCAAGCAATATCTTCCCATTTCAGACTTGGATCTATGCTCTGAGCGACATACAGGGCCAAGCCGTTATCCTCTCTGAAATTTTCTTTTGAGGAGAAAGCCAGATCAGGGGACTCGAAATTCACCATGCTGAAATAAAACCAACAGACCTTGATTACGGAATTAAATTAGCCAGAAACTGTTATTGTTTTCATTGGAAGCTGGAAGTCGGGACTGGGTCCGGAACCCCCCGCTCCAAATATTGATTTCCCAGCTCAATGGCACCTTGTTGACTCTTCTCAAGTCTGACTCGCCGTGCCAAGAAAAAGACCCCTGAGAGGTTGAGAAGTTCACACTGTGACATTGTGGTGGAGGGTGTGCCATTACCGAAAATACGAGCCCACATTTGAACCTTCGTCTCTCTGAAATGGTAATAATTCATCTGCTTGCATGAAAGAGGAAGTGAATAATTATACAAGGATGCTTAAAGTACAGGTCTTTTCATTGAACTCAGGAGGGGAAAGCCCCTTTACATGAATGACACACTGTATTAAATGCAAGTTATGCAAAGCTTTATAAATCTCACCAGTTTCTCATGGGTAAAAGGTTCCCCAAGACAGAAGAAAATATGTGGTGCATAAATATAGAAAAGAAACAAGTTGGTACCTGATTTGATAACTGAAAATGTGAAAAATATATTATTATAATATGTGGATTTTTGTTTGATTAACATATGGGCTTGGTGAGTCGTGAACATGTGATTCTGGTGAATAGGATAGAATAGAGACACTTTTTAAAATCCCGGTGGAGTAAATCTTGCTCTCCATGAGACACTGCTGAGAATAAGGTTGGGGGTCACAGCAAAGGGCCACATTGCGGCACCTAGGGGGGTGGGGGTGGGGGGGGCTAAAGCCTCGCTCAAGGGCCCACAGACATACAACTGTTCTGCCATGGCCAAGCTCGAACCAGCGACCTTCCCATCACTACTACAGAGAATTGGTCAGCTGAGCCTCCCCTCCCCCCTCCCCCCCCCCTCATTAGTGCTCACACTCCACCCGCTACCCTGCCAAACAAGGAAACTGTACATTATCAGTCCCCTAAGCTTCTCTTGGGGATAATTAACATGATGCGTTGTGAGCAGGCTGTGATGTACTGTAAAAGGCTCATCAGAATAACAGGTGACATCATCCTTGCACACTCCTCTGCATTCAAGTCTGCAGACCGTAACAACCTCTCATACATCTGCATCACATTGCATAGTTGATATACCTGTCTCCAGAAGGCACTTACATCTTCTACTTACAAAATTCAGTTCTCTATCCCTTCATAGCCTAGCCCTGGATTTGCTTAATAAAGACCAGATGTCAGCACTCTCTCTCCTTTTTTTTTGTAGCCCACTGACTTGGCAATTCGGACAGCCCAGTTCCTTTGTGGTCAGACTGTCCCCCTTGACACTGAATGGTTATAGGTCCAGTGCTGGAACCGCCTCATGCCGCAGAATTTAATTGCTCCCATGATGTCTGGACAGGGCCTTTATACTGATGCACGTAAAAGAGACCAACTCTGGACATCTTGCTGTAAACAAGTGTCATAGAGCACAATGAGCAGTCATTTCCAAGAACAAAATCTATGCTCAAATTTAAAAAGAAATGATAATGCGGGCAGTGAAGCTTGGTTGGATTTGTTTGTCGTAGCAAGCTTGACCGTCGTTGTGTGTGTGAGGTGTTGCTGCAAATTGAGATAACTTGGCTGGTTTAAAACTATTCAAAAATGGTGAAAAAGGGATTGTGGGAAAGGATAATTTCCTCATTGAAGGTAGCAGAAATCCGCCGACGCCTTGGACCACCATTTACCAGATGCACAGAAGTACTTTTCACACAATTAACACTCAAGGGTGCAATTTAGCTACTGACAATCACAAGAAGGCAATGAGGGGTGTTTTAGTAAGCTACACAAAAAGTGTATTTTTACAAGGCACAATCACACTTAAATGCTCTACTTAAACAAGGATTAGTTTATATTATGGATCCAACAATACTTTGAATAGCACTGATGCATTAAAACAAAATTATTTGCTGCATTGAATGTATTAATAGACATCTAACACATTCATATGAGAGAAAGGATTGTAATATATTAGCTTCTTTAGGAAATTTTCTCAGTTTTTACTATAGTCTATATTTACAGATCATGTATGTAATAATATAGAAAGTCTTGTAATATATTAGAATGTTTTAGTTATATATTTGAAGTTTAGAGAAGGACGTTTTCTCTAATTTTCAGGAGATTTTCTCTTTTAAATAGATGGACTCTAGAATGTTGTAAAGTGTATCAAACTACATTATGTTACTATATATTTTTTTCCTTAATACTGATGTATACACTGTCATTAACATTGTATAAAAGCCCCTTTTGCTCCACTTAACAGGAGGTAAATTGAACATGTTTGCACAGGAAGCTTTAATAGAGGACTGTGTTTTGTTAAGCAGTATTTTTCCAGGTGATTACCTACCTGAGATTAGGGGGGAGTTTAAACTGGTTGCGCACGTCATTTCGACGCCTCCCGAGGTACGGAGTGTCCACTGTGACAAAGATGCCCTTGTATCCGGCCTTTTCTGCTCGCCTGACCAGAGACAGGGTCAGATCGCGGTCTTTGTAGATGTACAGCTGCATCCACCGCAACCCCCCCGGAGCTGCTGCGGCCACTTCCTCGATGGTGGACGTCGCCCAGGAGCTAAGGGTCATCCCCGTGCCCTCGGCCTTGCAGGCTGCAAAACCGCAACAATACCGGCGTGAAAATGCAGTGCGTCTCTTAAAACACGCCCTGTTATTAAACGCACTTAATGACTTAAAACTGCTATTAAATGCGTGCGCCACTGAATTATGAAAAAAAGTCGGAAAAAAGAAACGTAAATTCCAATATTGTGGTGCCATGGCGCCACCAGGTGGAGGAAATGTGGTCAATGCAGTGCAGGAAGAAACTTTCTTCCTGAACAATGAATTTTATTGTTAAAATGATATACGCTAAATTTACACTGTAGTATCTTTTACACATGCGTATCAAAGTAACAATGCTGAAGTTAGATACAAACAGCTCACAGATGCTATTTGCCAGCTTAAGGCAGCTGCCCTATTTGTACTGCTCTGTTCTAGCTGACTAATGGGCAGCACTGCATTTTCACACCTTCAGAGGTGTCTGGTCAGTTCCTATTGGGCATTTAGGCTTCCACCCACAGTACAAGGTGGAATGGTATCTTTAATCTGCCCTGCATATATATATATATATATATCTGTGTGTGTGTGTGTGTGCATGTACACTGTAATAGACTAAAATTCTCCCCTGTGTGTTTTCGCTGGAAGGTTCCAGCCTTACCGTCACCCATACTGGACCGAACAAGTTTAGCAATGCTTTTTCTATATAAAAAAAAATCATACAAATCATATGTAAGAGTCCTGCAAATTGCAGTGTCTGTCCGTTATCTGAGCAGTGTGTAAATGTGTGAAATGAATCATCCCAGGCACAAAAAAATATCTCCAAAAAAAAAAAACATCTGACATTGCCTAGGTAGTTTAAATACTGTATGGAAAACGAAGGTGATCCATGAAAAACAGCATAAAGTTGTTTTTTTTTTGTTTTTTTTACCCCATTGTACGAAATCAGAGCATGACCAGTCACCATTTCTAGCTCAAAGAGAACGTTAAGGGGCAGTGTTTGCACATTATTAATATTAACCAGGATTGAGTTGACCTTCTGGGAGGTCTTCCAGGGCTACGTGATGTACCTCGCGCAGTTGCTGTCTCCCCATCTGGATGGGCCATCCTTTGCATAGCAGTTGCCGCCACGCACACAGGCATGTTGATCTGCTGTCCAAGCACTGACACGGACAGGTCCACCGTGGAGACATCTCGCAGCACACGAGGGCAGAACTTCCACCTAATTGTGTATTTTTTGGAAGCATTTATTACAGAAGATGTGACGTCACTTTGTGCCCCGTTGTATCCCCTGTCGTCCTTTAATGTCATTACCACTGCGCTATTGTGTTTTTACACTAATAGCTAATTATAATAATGGATCCATAAGCACTTAACTAGTTAAGGAATGCAGCAAGCCAGGAGCCAGTACCACACATATGCATACTACGCAACCTAAAGACATCGATTAGCCTAAAAGCATTTTCTTAGACTGTGGCAGAAAACCCAGTGGTAACATCCAAAGTCCTCTCTCTCACACATACACATACACACACACAATGGTACTCATCTTTGTGGGGACCGGCCATTCATTTCTATGGACAAAACCCTAATCCCAACAATGACAACCTTAACCCCTACCCAACCTTAACCATAAGTAACCAAACAAAATACAAGTCTTTAGGCATTATTCGTTTTTTGATTGCAGTCACAGATTTTTTATAAATTTGAATTTCCCCATGTGGCGACTGAAAAATTGTCAAAATAACAGGATATTATCACATCTGGTCCCCACAATGTAATGTATACCTGGACCAACACACACACACTCCAAAACCTGTATGTGTGACCCTCTATTCCATACACGATAATACATGTTGGATATACTTTGTCATGTTGCTATTGCTAATAAATATCACCTGTGTTCCAGGAAAGGCAAGCGCTAAATGACCTGTGACTTTCAAGCTACTGTTGGCAGGAACAGAGACTCAGCAAACAGCAGTATAATAAAGATCAATGAGTAGGATTACTTAACAGTAACACCAGGAGGATTGACAGGTATAGAAAAAATCATGCTGATGTTTTGAAGTGTTACTCTTGGCTCGGAAGCACAACTGTTAACTCATACACTTCTATCATGAGGGAAACTTACACAAATCACATCAATAGTAACGAGCACACTGCCATTTCCGTATTAACTGGAACTGGACCGTAATGTGAAGGCAACATCTTCATTTCCGTACAATTAAGCATACCTAGAGAATGCTGCTATATTGTCGGCTAATGTCTCCTCATCGTCTGCTCCAGAGATGTAGTAATCGAAGACGACTTTAGGAAGGATCCTCTTGGCATTCTCTTCATAGTCGCTGACGCACACTGACTTCTCTGACATGTTCCCAGCAGATAACACACTGGCCTGTTCCACAACCGATTTCTAGCCAGGCTGAGGGGTCATCTGTGAATGATTGATGTGGTCAGTTTAAGGTAGGCCTCTTCAAATGTGGACCTCGATTCCAAATCTGCGCCTTGTTTTCAGTTCTCCCATGGAGTTAGTTTAATTGCTACTGATTCTGATTGGCCACAGAGGCTTCACACCTGGCTCACGGGTAAAGGAAGGATGGAAAATCAGCGATGCTCGGACCTTGAGGACCGTGATTTGAACGGCCGTTATATAAGGCCTTTCGTGTTTATGTTAACTTACGTTTGACTAAGCAGTTGAGGTGAGATTGTTTTACAGAACAGTGTCAAAAGTAAGTCTAGTGTTGTGGCTCTTTCAAAATCTAAGCAAGCACTTCGGATTCAGTACTATCCATAAAAGTGACAATACAGGTGGGGTCGATGCAACTGAACACACATGATGGAATCAGTGAAGTATACTCCAGGATCATGTGACTCAGAAAAAAAGACTTCATGAGTAACAGGGAAGATACTTTAATCTAACATGCTTCTACATTGATCAGAATGGACAGGACATCAGAGGATATGGGGATCATGTAGGAGAAGAAATGCATATATGCGTAACATTATAAAAGAGATTGAATAATGGTCATATAAAAGTATAGATATATAAAACTATATATATATATATATGTATATATATATATATATATATATATATATACACACACATAGACACACACACACATAATAGCATGGCTTCTTGTCTTATACCTACGGCTGTATCATTTTAAGTGTTACCATCTCCTTTAAGAAAAACCAAAAAGAGGAAGAACTACATCCACAAATTTATAAATATTATTGCATAGATTATTAGCATAAGGTAGCAGGAGAACGGCACATATTTTTTGTTTACTTTAGCAGACAGGAGAACTGGCACACATTAGTGTTTTTGCTTTTTACCCTAATGTCCACATTAAAAAGGAGCACAGCCCTAAACGAGCCTAAGAATGACCTATGAATTATTAACATCCACAGTCCAGCTGAACAAGCACTGCAGTCTCTGACTTTACAGTTGTGTAATTATTCTTCCATTGCTGGTAACCTTCTATTATCCTGCAACATTTGAAATGACGGGGACACTGTCTTTGTTCTTGGTCTATAAGGGCATAAACGAATGAATACTGCAACACCGTCTTATGTAAAGGCAACTGCTGGAACTAATACATAAAGGCAAAATGAAGAGGATTGTGTTGTTAGCTTCCAGTACTATGGATGTGACATTTAGACTCATATTGGCAAACAAAATGCCTCAGAGCCAGAACATGCTTAGTATCAAGAAGTCAATTTGCTTATCTTTTCATGTGACTTCTTGAACTGAATATAGGCAAATCCTGAAAATTCTCATGCTAATTCACATTTTATCAGCATATTATGGATGTGACAGCAAGCAGGCCTTTCCATGGAATTGCCCTATTAAATTGCCACCACGAAGAGAAAAGCAGCTCTTTTTACACAGCATAAACCCGACTGTTTCTCTCACGGTGACTTTTAAGTTGTCTTGCATAACAACATTATATTAATGAGACAGATTAAACTACAGGACAAGGTATGCTGTTTTTATTACACTGACAAAAACAAGTAATTAAAAAAGTTAAAAGGCATGCTATTTTAATGAGCAAAAGTTAACAGAACTTCACAGAATACAGTGGACAGACATACATTCCCAGGGGATAAAATGGAATGTTTGTCTTTTTGATATTTTCAACTTGTACAAGCTACTGTAGATTAGGGATGTTGCATATCTTTCGTGTGACGTTGAACTACCTTTTTATCGCACATTTTCTCCCTCAGCTCAGGAAAGCATGCAAATAGCCTGGTTATTGAGCAAGGTCTCCCCAAAAAAGGGCATTCGTTCCGCTGAGTGTAGGATGCAGCCTGTCGATATTGATGGGATTACCCACATGATTAGATTTATATAACCATGCTGCATTGCATCTCTCTAACCCACATGATGTAACAGAAAAACATGGGGCCCATTACGCACCACTCTTCTTCATTGAGTGTCCGAGAAATTTTCAGAAGTTTCGCCATAGACTCATTGTTACGACCCTAATCAGAACTGGTCTCTCGGGCAGCTGGGTGGTAATATACAGTATAAGAGAACGGTACATCAGTTGTATATGTGTTTAGGTACAATGGTATATATTACTCTGTCAGAAAAAAGGGAGACAGCTCTTTCCCCCAAAGAATGAACAACATTAAATGATAAATGCTTTATTTGCCATTTGCACAAGTACAAGTATGTTGGAATTCATCTCTTTGCCAACCCCATCTTGCTCTCCATAGCTTGGGGGTCACAGCACAGGGCCAGTCAACGTGCAGCACCCCTGGTGCTGGGGGGGGGGTTAAGGGCCTTTCTTAAGGGCCCATGGACATGTGACTGATCTCCCAAGGCCGGGGCTCAAACCAGCCATCTTCTGATCACGGGTACTCAGACTTAGGCCCAATCCCAATTCTATTTTCTACCCCTTCGCCTACCCCTCACCCCTTCCCCTTGCCCCTTGAAATGAAGTGGAAAGGGGTAGGGTTAAAAAATTTCCCCTAAGAAATGGGACACCACTACTACACTGTTATACGTCATCATCCATTGTCACTACCTCCTAATGTTACGTCAGAGGACATGCTCCGATGTTTATCACAAATTCCAAGATGTCGCCGTCAGCATCGTAGCATGTAAAGATTACTCACTCCCAAAGTTTTTTTGCGCCATATTTGGACTTTAAAAACAGATGTTCGTTTTCACCTCGAAAACGTATGAGCCTTCGAGTTTCCTCAGCTGTCCCTATACAGAATATAATTTACAAAAATGTTGTCATGTTGCAATAAGTACGAATAGTGTAAGCACCGTTCATTTACATGTACACATATGGCCGTAAGCAAAACAAAACAACGCGTTACAACATGCAGTCAGTTACCGGGTAACGTTATATGACATAAAAATATATTTCCTAATATTGTGCAATCAGTGCTATCCGCAAGCAAACTTTAGCGATTTTTTTTCAAACGTTTCTTTACAGAACATCACTGTAAACACAAACACAAGATTGATGGTAATATACATGTAATGAAAAAATGTCATAAAAATCCTTATTAATGGCAAAAATTACTTAACATTTATGGGTCTGCTTGCTCGAGTGGGCAGCCATGTTGTAAATTTCTCTTAGCCCTTCGTTTGAAGTGAGGTCCCGAAAAATCTTCGTTTCGAGGGCTATCTAGCCCTTCCCCTTACCCCTACCCCTCCAATCAAAAGAGAATTGAGACACCCCTACCCCTACACGTGAACGCGCCAAACGGAGGGGTAGGGGTAAGTGTAGGGGTAAGGGGTAGAATTGGGATTGGGCCTTAGCCTGCTCAGCCACACACAAAAATTGTTCCTCAGAGACCATTGCTGTAGCTTAATAGATACAAATAATCATATTGTCATGATGAATGGGTGTGGACCTCAACCCCCGCAGTGTTCAATCCAAAGTTACACCCATGCGTACCACCCTCAACTGGCAGATCCTACAAACAGAGATGGGGCTCTCAAGAAGTCCTTAAGAGTTATGGGACCATAAACCAATGGGCACCACCCCCCTACAGAAGAGGGAGTGGAGCAGGGGGAGGGGACAAGGAGAATGGCAGAGGGAAAGTGAAAATGTGTGCAGTATCCATAGCGTATGACGACGGCACGCAAATGGCCCAAAGCGAGGGTCAGGCGTAGTTTTTTCATCAGCTGGATCATCAGGTATGGTCAGTTTCAGTCAGATCCACACCTACACCCACAGAGCAGTCGCCATAGTTATTTCATCCACAGGCTAATTCATGCACAGTCAACAATTACATACCCTGCCTTATGGCAGGAGAAGCTGCTATGTGCAGCCTTTGTGCAGATGAAGTGCATTGTGGTAACTTCTTATTCTGTGCCCCGGTGAACGTAACCACTTCTCCACCACACTTGGATGGCGGGGGACTTTACATTCTTACGTGTTAGATTACATTCATCAACTAGAACAGCAGCTTGAGATAACAAGCCCACCTTCAGTTCATTGAGCTATAACCTAATACGACTTGGCAAACAGTCTTTAAATTCCCCCAAGAGGACGAGCTCATTAAGGGAGCGCAAGGTCTGACACTTTACCGGCAGCCGCACCACTTATCAAAGAAAGTGTCCTTTTCTCTTGCGAATTCAACTAAAGTTTGACCTGCCAGCTTCTTGTGGTTCCTACAGGCTTCAGGTACCCACTGACAGGTACACAGTACCGCTGCCTGTCATCCTGCAATAAGAGTGCATTACAAACATTTACAGTGCAGCTGTAAAGGCCAAACAGACTTAGGCCATTGCAGGGAAAATGCAATGAGCTCAAATGCATTAAAATGTCAACCACAGTTTCCAAAAAAGGTGACACTGGACTAATGTTCTGACTGACATCAAGCTGTGTCTGGGGGAGCAGGAGTCCATTGTGCAATGGGAGGAACCTTCATAGCTTCTAGCTCAGGCCGTCTCAGTCGAAATCTCCTTTTCAGCCTCAAACCTCCTGCCTCCAGCTGAACTCTGCCTGTTCCTTTTCCTCAGATGTGAGCTGCAAAGCACGTCAGATGCACTCTCAAGCAGAGAGCTCCATGTGAAGCGGAGAGGGCACGACGGCCGCTAGCGTGACTTTGGGTGGTGTTCCATGATTGCCTCGGCTTGGTTTACCTCCCGAACCTCAGGCGTCTCAGCCATGGCGACCTCACCCACAACGGGCGTACAAAACAGTCACACTACCTGCTCCACCAGACTTGCAGGCATTTAACCCCCTGGGGTCTGAGGCCTCTTTTCCACTTTCGGGGTAGTCTGACATGCCTTGACATTTTAAAATATTTCACCTATCTAAAAAACATTTATCCCAAACTGTTACATTTGCTTTTATTCAGCACAAACTCAGCACCAATAATCTGAGACCTCTTAGAATGTTATTATTCTATTAACTCACTCGCTTGCCTTGCCTCTGTGATGCCAAAATGTCCTGCTAACATGAGGAAATGGTAATAACATAAATCTACACGAAATTTCCAGGAATTATCAATGCTAAACTGGGCCATTATCAAAAAACAAAAACAAACAAACAAAAAGTGCAGTTACCAACTCTGGTAACACTTGTCCTCTCTAAGGTGAGTGACACCACCTACGAACGAGGCTATTTGCACCACCATCAACAACTAGGGAAAAATAATTCGAGAAATTAACTACATAGCCCTTAATTAACTTAATCCTAACTAGTTTTCAAAGGCTACCACGTTCTAGGCAACTTTGAATGCTGAAGTTCATAACACTTGACGTGCACAGTGAAAATCGAAATGCCCAAAAATCATACTCCCTGTGAACCCTGAAAACTCCATGAGGGAGTATCTTCAACACCACAAGCCAGCAGGAAGACAGTAACTAACCCGGGCTCATTCCGCATGACGGTGACCCCCTCCAGTAGCTTGCACTTACCCGAAAACACCGGAAAGTTCCGTTCAACGCGATCAGTGAGAATTATCCCCGTTAGACTTAACGAGTTCAATGGAACTGGGAGGTAAAGAATACATGACACTTGTGTACATGTATGGACACACCCATAATACCCATAGTACTTACAAGTAGCATGCGGTGCAAATATGTTAATTACAACGTATGTACACAGGCAACCAAAAACCAGAATAGTCACTGGCGGATCATTTGGCAATTCTATGGTGCTATCTGAGGAACCATTGCACTGTCCCCAATGTATATACATATTATAAACAAGTATGTTTTGTAGCTTTTGATTTACAATGAAATTTCCATTCAGCCTTATGCTACATACAACAAAAAAAATCATTATTTGATACAGCAGCTGCTGCGGAGATGCATTGCTTTTTATTTTCTGGATAATGTATACAAATGACACCTCAATGTGTGTACAAGTCATGGAAATACCACTAGATGTACCTGGATGAGTAGATTTGCTTTGGAATGATGTTTTTTCTTCTAACAAAAATTGCCTGACTCAGAAGTCAAATAATTTACATAAATACAGTAACAATTATTACGTAAACAATTATTGCTGTGGAAAGAAAAAAAAAATTAATTCACATATATGATATGGCTTAAAGAATTACAATTTATTTTATAATACTACAGTGTTTAAAAAATATTTTAATTAAAGTCAGAAAGCATTGAATTCAAGATAATCCCTAGCTACACATACTTTAAATACAAATCTTTTTTTTTCCCATCCTACCTGTACAGAACAAATGTTACTATGGCATGGAGAATTTGCAGCACAAGATACATGTATTGTGTGTTAAGGCAGCTGGCAAAGAATGAGGATCACAAGCAACATACTCCCACAGAATCTTCCAGAAGACACTCGTCGAAGAAACAGAATGCTAAAATCAGAGGGGTTTAACATGAAGGACGAATAGAAAAATACACACAGATCTTAAAAGTAACTAGCTCGTCCAGCCAAAGTGACAGTATTCTCCGGCAAGACGAGAAAAATTTGATTCATTCTTCTATACAGCTTGTCCTATACAGCAGTGTTTTCTAACCCGGTCCTTGGGGACCCTCAGACTGTCCATGTTTTCGCTCCCTCCTAGACTGTCTACATTTTTGCTCCCTGGAGGGTGCAAAAGGGAGCAGAAACTTAGATTGTTTATCAGTCCCCAAGGACCAGACTGGGAAAAACTGCTATACAGGATTGTGGGAGTCCAGGGCCTATCCTGGAAGCTATGGGAACAAGGCAGGGAATAACCCAGGATGGGGCACAAACCCATCACAGGGCACACATTTAACTTACTGACATTACATGATTTAGTTTACTCATGAAACTTGTGTCATACTTTCCCTCCTTACTGCTGTTTCTCACAGTTTCACTTCACCTTAAACATAAGTAATACTCTCCCAAAATACCGTTACAATAGGTCTCATACAAAAATAGGATAAATGAAATGTAAATTAACACCATATAATCAAGTAAAAGAAACACGCAAGCAAACTTAACTTGGAAAATATTAATTCACCAACTTAAAATGCAATAAATTAGAAATTTAAGGCCATGTTACCCAGATCTCAGCCCTTTTCTCATATGAAAAATAAAAATAAAGCATAACTGAACTTGCCACAACCAAACTCTCACCATCGTCACTAAAACACATTGTTTCATAAAGGTACACTTTTATTCATCCTCTCTTCCTTCTCACGCACAGAAAACACTCACGATGCTAACAGGCTCCAAACAGATGGCGCCAGTCGGGACTCTTTAAGGTCAATAATGTCACGCCGTGATTCAACCCTGATGGAAGTTCACCTCTTACGGACAAATGGTTATTTTTACTACACGGGATGCTGGTCTGTTACACAGCTGACTGTTACCCCGGTAATATTCAGCAGATGCTAGGCTAAAGTAGCTGGTACACGGCACTTTTTGTTGACCTCGTACTGGGCCGTCTGCAGCAAATTGAATATTATAGTATTAACAGCGAGCAAGGCAAATGTAAGAGTACTCAGTACTCAGTACTCATTCCAGGAAGCTCCTGACAGACTCTACAGCAAGTTTTCCATTGGTCGGCCAGTTATTTAGGAAATGATTCTCATATTTTGCTGAAGAATGATGAATATGATAAATTGTCTCGTTCATTTCAATAAAGAACCTAAACTATACTAGGGGTGGGGGACTTGATCCATGGAGAACCACTGTGGGTGCAGGTTCTTGGGACGGCCTCTCAATCAGCCAATAATAAAGCAGTGGTTCCAATCCTGGAGGCCCACTGTCCCTGGCTGATTGAGAGACCATCCCAAAAACCCGCACCCACACCGGCCCTCGATGGATGAGGTTCCCCACCCCTGAATTATATAGTACAGCATTTGTCATGGGCTGATGTAAATGGAACTGGCATAGACAGGATGTACATCACTTTCCTCAAAAAAAATGAAATAACAACAATCACATACTGTAGTTACAATCAACTGTGACCATTATGGTATTGAAGAAACCCAATTGCATTGACTTAATGCACAGTGGCATTCATATTGGCAATAGTTTACCGGGAATATATATATTGATACTTACTAACGGTTACATTGAGACTCATTCTGTATGAAAGGTTATGTTCTTGTCGGGAGAGAGGAAGGTTGAGCTTAGTAAAGGAATAGCAGTTGCTGATTCCCAGAGAACATCAAGATCTCACTGCTTCTTAATGACATTTAAGCAATCCATAGCAAAAAGGAACACAGGCTGTTTAATCCTGCCTTCAAGCCAAGATTTATTCATTTGCATCTGAGCTCTGGTTTCCTTTGTGCCCTGGCATTAAAAAAGCAGCACAATACCTGTTTTGTTAGACCATTCAAACGCCATTTAAAATGAAATGATTATAGGATTTTAAGCCAAAAGTACAGTTACTTTTCAGTAATACAGTAGTATTTTTATAATGCATGCTTTTGATGTCATGAGTTTTTTTTTTAATGCTGGGGAGAGAAGACAGAGATGAATTATTTCATGGACAAGAATCATGTACCGAGTAGTGGGTGTGGCCTATAAACTCACTGTATGAATTGGACACTTTTTCTGCAGTATAAGGTTTCTTGAGTCCTTTACTTTGTAGCTCTAGGCTTTATACTTCTGATTGGAGAAATGCAGACGCTTAAGTATTTAGGTTTCGTTTGGCTCCGCCCCTTGTGGTTTCCTCTTCCTCACCATGCTCTCCGACGCCCCCTCTGGCATCTGCATGTCGGCGGCTCCGGCTTCTCCCTCAGAAGGCAAGACCTCCTCTCCCGTAGACTCCTCCTCTCCTGATAACTTTGCGCTCTCGTTTTCCGCGTCCGACAACTGCCTTTCCTCTGTAAGAGTATCTTCAATGTCGCCTTCAGATCCATCCTCTTTCACCTCTACCTCTGCGGAAAGGTACAGGGGCTGTTTCAGGGTTGGGGTTGGTCACTTTCCATCACAGTTACACCATCGCCTACATAATGACACACTGTGCTTAGTTCAGAGATGGCAATTCACCTAATTCTCGGTTCTTGGACCGCAAGGGGAAATACAAGCTAAAAACAGGGAGAAAATGCTAATTCCACAGGGAAAGCCAGAGACGGGATACAAAAACATAATCCTAGAGGTGTCAGGAAACACAGCTAACTGTTAAACCACTGTTCCCACTAAAAGAGCATTCATTTTGTGAATTTAATTTGAAAAGAAACTGGGGCTGCAGTCCAAATATAACCACAGAAATTTCTCCATTATCCAGCCTCAGTAACAACTACGGGGTCAAAAGATTAAATCAGATACAGAAATAGCCAAGCTGTCACTTTCGATATTCTCAAAGGTAATTTCAACTAACTCCGGCTGCATCACCCACATCCAAGACCGACGTCTGTGCCCATTAGGTGACCTGGCTGCGTTTCAAACGTACCTAAAACGGCTAAAACAAAAATACGAGATTTCCAGGAGCAAAATCGGTTTGTTAGGCTTTGGTAGCGAAACCACTTTTAAAGTGAAATTTTGAAACGCATTCGCGCAAACACTTGTTTTAGAAATTTTGGTTTCATGAACTTTGTATACTTAGGACCCGTCGATTCATCTTCCAAATTATTATCCAAAGCAGCCTAGACCCCATTCCAGGGAGAAAATGACTGTCTGAATTGGGGATCCACCCTACAGCTAATCCAGAGAGCACAGCAAACTCAACCGTGATGCCGTCCGAGGCCCACGTGGTGCCCTGGGCAAGCTTCACCACTGGTGACCCATGGTGACTGTGGGAGAAAACCAGAACTCCCAGAGCAAACCCCGTCGGAACGTGCAAACCGTAAACACCCAGAGGAGAGGGCAGGGTTCAAACCCCCTGCCTCCTGCCTCCTGCATCAGCACCCAACTCAACAATCCAGGCCATCTCAGCTCCAGCCAAAATAACCCACCGTGACCCCAAAGGAAATGTGGCGAAGGTCTAGCTTCCATCATGGGTAACAATGCTCTGGAGCCCCTATCCTGATGCATTAAACTGAGAGTTGCTACAAGTGGGTCAGGGAAACAAAGAAGCGGTCCTGGGTGTCCATCTACATGACTGGGGAGAAGAACGGGGAACTGCTGAAGCCTGCTTGGGTGTCATCTTCCAGTCGAATGGCCTCCAGTATTCACGCGGCCAGGGAAGACGAACCCCGCAGGCACCCGGACGCGGCCTGAGTAGAGTAAGTCAGCCTCCGTATCCCTCCCCAGTACCTCGGCGAGAATGGCAGGGGTATGGCTGCTCATTTAGATTATTTTGCATTATTCTTAACATTCTTTCCACTGAATACATTTGAGGTCATATGCTTCAGGATTAAAACATCCATCCATCCATCCATCCATCCATCCATCCATCCATCCATCCATCCATCCATCCATCCATCCATCCATGCACTGAAAAAAATATGGGTAAAGCACCTGTGACTATTTTTCATGTTATTTGAAGCTAACATACAGCATGTTAAGATTGTCCCCCCCACTGTGACCCATCACTGGATAAGGAGTTTGGAAGATGAATGTATGCAATAGTTAATCATTTCTGCTATAATCCCCCTAATAAGTGAGACTTCCTGCGCTTTTCCGCACGGCTGCCATGCCTGCAGGGACTGACGAATGCGTCCTTGCGTGAATGCGGCAGATTTGCCCTGGCAGGTCGGGCATCCTGTCACTATTCTTTACCTGATTTCCTGTCTCTGCGCCGCGGCCTTGACGGGCAAATGCAGTCTGCGATCAAAACCAGGATCTGGCAAGACAAAGGGGTAATATTCATTTCAAGGTCACAAGTGCTACGCTGAAATCACATCGCTGTCATTTTCATATCCCTTTCAAAAAAGAACACAAACACAAAATCCCTCTGCATTATACAATGGTTTATACAACGCTTTATGCAACAGCGTCGTACATTTTAAACGGTGCCATTGATATTTTCTGTATTCTCCTTTCACCAGTTTTTGCATGAAACAAATCACAAAATAAGGCATCGCTGAAATGCTCGATCAAGACCAGTCTGTATTGCTCCACTCCACTATCAATATTCGTGCAGAAAAATAATCTGTAGCCCACTGAAAAATAAAGCCCCCCAGAGCACTTTGGAAATGCAATATGGACATATGTGCAGCATAAAACCATCAATATTAGTTTTGTCAGCCACAGCCTACATGGAAAATCATGTGGACAGTAATGAAAAATGAAGACCATGCATGACAGCACAGGGCTGCTGCAGAATATTACTGGAAAGCAGCGTGTATTTACCAGGCCGAGAAGCAGTCCAGTGACCAAGGTGACAAGAGCAAAAATGAGATAGGAACCCCAAACAGGAATACCAAGCGTCTCGGTCAGGTAACTGTGGATTTGCTGCAAAGGTGAAAAGACAAGCAAGTTACAGCTCATTTTTAACTCTCACACCTACCCTGGGGTCAAACTGACGTCTCATGGTAACATAATTATTGTAGGAGCTTAAATATACCTGAGTATAAGATGAATATAATTAACGCTGACAAAATATCACCTTGTTGAGCATCTATCCCTTTTATTTAAACCTACCTGCCATTTCCATTTCTAATATAAGCCTTGTTTTTTAGACTTGAATTAAAGGCATGCAGAGTCATACGAGAAAGCTGTGGAGATACAAATACAGGCAGCGGATGGAGGAGGCCTGAATCATTATTATTTATTTAGCAGAAACCTTCATCCAAAGTAATGCACAATTGAGAAAGCAAGGTCAGCCAGTTCCTGGAGTAACTGGGGATTATGGGCCTTGCTCAAGGGCCCAGTGGTGACATCACTCTGCCAACCACGGGATTTGAACCGGCAACCTTCCCACCGCGGCCACAGCGTCCTACCCCAGTGATCTACACCACCAGAAACTAAAATCCAGCGTAAAAAAAAAAACCATTGATGTACATCAGTAAAGATTCAACGTACCCTGATCCACACAGACAGGCGGAAAAGGCCAGACATCATTGTCATGCTGGGTGGTGGAGACACAAGTGAAAGGAACAATTAGGGGGCAACGGCAAGACAAGATCTCCCAGCGCGGCCATTATTACGGCCCTCTGCTTCCGCGCCTCGGCGCTAAAAACATCTTTTGCTCTTTGGTACTGGAAAAGGGCAGAAAGATGTCGCTACAATAAAATGGCCAAGACATCCTAAAATATTTACTGATACTGAACATGAAATAATCATTGAACATAATTTAGACTCCTACTATCTGGCAAACACACCATACACCCTCATAGTCTTTTTTTATGTATAAATTACCCTATGCTACATGAGCATATTTATATCCTACACGTCTGTACGACTTGAGTCTTTCTCCCATCCACTCGCACTGTCGGATAGACAGATATTTAGAAGCACAAAAAGGTTCTACCTTCATCCGCAACAGTACAGAAGAGTGAAACAAAAGGGCAGCTTTAATGTATGCTCGATTCTAAGCCCACGTAACGTGTACTTTTCCAGTATCGACGAGGGTACAATGAGGACACCTAAATGAAAGAAAATGACTAATTCCAGAGGAGTCGTGCGAATTACACAAAAGAGGAAGGTGATTTCCATTCGGGCACGGGTTCAACCGCTTCCCACTTCTTGTCGACAACGTAGCTCTGGAAATCCTCCACTGCACGTGATGACAAGTATCTGCGAAAACTTCCGTCGTTTGCACTACAGAAAAAAAAAAAACAAATATAAATACAATAGGAATCCACCCCTAAAAAACAAAGGCTGCGGACAGTATTTATCATTTGACAGTAAAAGTTTGGCAGAAATACAGTACAGTTTAACGATACAAAAACGTGTTATAATTGTTTTGAATATTTACATCATGTTGTATTTTTTAAAATGAAGTCTTAATGATTTTGATGTTTAAATGCAATGTAGCGTTTAAATACGTATAACATTTTTAAAATTCTGGTCACATGTCTTTTGAGAATTTTATTTTGTTTCACAAAAGCATCTTCATATGTTGGCATTTTTCTGTAAAAGAGTCTGCCGAAACAGAAACATCTGATTTACAGCGGCTGAAACGGTTGACATTTCAGTCTTTACTTTAATGGATATCTCATGCCTTGTAAGTTTGGCTACCTGGGTCATGATCCAAAGAGACTGACATTAGGAATTACCACGTCTGTCAGTGCACTCTGTGCCAGGTGGCGTGATTCCCTTCCACCTTGTCTACGTTTACTGCAGGGTAATTGACTCTGACGTTGTGATAACTCTTCCCAGTTAATTGCAGACAAAGCTCAGCAATCTTTATAAACCTTTTTGGGGGGGCGGGGGGCAGGACCGCAGTGATTGGTTCACCATGACATGAAAGAGACGGGTGGCTGAAAAATGTCCGCAGCTGAGATCAGAAATGAGAATACTCATATTGCTAGGCTGCATGAAATGCACTTTAAAAAACGCTAACACCGATCTCACCCTAATGCATGCTGAATAAATGCATACACAAAACATATACAAAAGAGTACAATTTATCAGTAATCAAAAGTTACATATTAGGTTTATTTATTCTTACGTTATATTATGTTTACTTATATTATGTTTACTTATATTATGTCTTGTCGTGAATGGAATTGCTGTTTGCCCTACCCCTGCCACTCCCTCAAGGATGACCGCCCCCCCCCCCCGCCACAAGTGCGGCACAAAAGTTTCACTGTCCCCCAAACACGTGTCACTTGAAGCCCGGAACATGAAATCTGACGAAGGAGTTTTTTTGCTCTGAATGCATTTTCGTATAAGATGGAATTTAAACGTATACATATCGATGGCTTTCTTTACGTAAATGAGACACTAGCCTTCTGTTCCTCTTATGAATATGTATTGCAGCCCTTGACAGTTGCATAATGGGGTTGTTGGTGGCTCCTCTCAGAGTGTGAGGTTTTTACATAACGCTGCGGCTATTTGTGTTGAGATAACTGCAAGTAAGGGCAAGAAGAAAATCTGCCAACGCTGTTTTCATCACTGCTACTCTATTATTTCCCAAGTTAGGAAAACCTCAGAGTCAGCAGCTCTGCTTCCAGATTCTCGTAAAAATAAAGTAATAATAATAATAATTTTTGGGGTTTTTACCCTTGTTCAAATATCAAATGTGTAAGCTCAAGGTAAACAACTTAGAAGAAATGTGCTCATTGGCAGGAAATGCATTTGGATATTAGCTAAAACAATCCATTTAAATGTCTCGTTAAAGTGTACATAAATTCATAGTTATAGCCCCATGTCCTGAGACACCAAGCATATAATTACTGCAGTGTATGAAGGTACGGTATGCAAAAGACAAGCTCCACAAAGGCAAAGAGAACCACGTGACAAGGAGAGGAGATGGAGAGCGGGGGTGCTTCGAACAAAACTAGGGGGGAGGAAAGGAAACGAAAGCCATTATGGCACCAGGGAAACAAACAAGAAAACAGCATGATTTAGGCAACCTTTTGTGGGCTTGGGGGAGAGCGGTGCTCAGTATTACAGAGCTGGCAGTAAGGTACAGCCCCAATATACATTTATTTATGTGTATAACTGTAAAAGTTACGTCCTCCTGAGATCCAGCAAATTCATTATTGTCCTCTGTAGAGGACATGACGTTTTTGCTCACATGTCGTACTCGTACACTATATCTGGCATGCTATTAAATCCTGTTGTTCCTTAAAGAGGGCAATTTCTGGGGGTGGGCATTTTGTCCTGGCAACATTAAACTTCAATAAAAAAAAATGAAAATAAAAAAACAATAAAAATGGAACCCTGTTTTCCCCTGGATCTCGGGAGGACATATGTTTGTTTTTGCTGTTTTCTAAAGGTTTCAGACAGACACATGAAGGACACAGACACGTGACACCCTAGTTAAATTGGAACTGTATCCAGCTCGGTACCAATTCCTCCAGCACCTTATAGGAAAACTTACTGAAATATTGTTGGAAGCGTAGTTACCAGGAACCGCCCACTCAGCCCTGCAAGGGACGGAAGGACAAAGAGCCATTAGCGGTATAGTCAGCTTCACAGGACATGCGAGAGCGCACTCCCGTCGGCGTGGGGGCGTTCGGTCGGCGGGCCTCTCCCCACGTCGAGAGCCAGTGTTTCAGCCGGAGGCAGAGGCACTGGGGAGAGGCGTCGGAAGGGTAATGCATCATGCGGACGCCCGCAGTGGAGGGGCAGAGGGTATAGGCGGCAGTACTGACATTCCGCAGTGGCCATTAGAGCACAGTTATGCATGTCACACTTTGTGGACCCCTTGTTAGTCAGAAACAAGGGCATAGAGATCTCTGAAAATGTACAGAACAGAAGCAGACAGCAGTTTTATTACAGGCACGGCTGTTTGTAAATAGTGCAAGCAGACCGGCCCCAATGTGTCACATCAGAAACTTCCCTTTCATCACACCAAACCCTGAATGGAAACCAAACAATTACAATTTATTTATTTATTCTCCAGCTGCTTTTATCCAAAGCAATATACAACTGAAAACAGGGTCAGACTGTCCCTGGAGCAATTGTGGATTAAGGGCCACACTCAAGGGCCCATCGGTGAAATCACCTGGCCGACTCTGGGATTTGAACCGGCAACCTGCCGATCATAGAATCTAACCCACCGAGCCACACACCGCCCCTCAGATAAGAAGAATGACAATTCCATCAAGAATTTTACTCTCCAAATGGTGCCTCTTAGCCATATCAGTGAGTGAAATATTTCATAAAACATTTTTATCCCAGTGCACATAATACAATTTCCATTCACCATGGAAGATGGATACAATAACGAAAATGAAATCTCCACACCATTTTTGGAATGATAATATAGGTGAACCAATGATCTGGTATGAACCATGTAATTACATTCTTAACATATTTTGCAATAATTAAATCACTGATCCCCTAGTGGAAGGATTATTTCAGCACCATTGCAAGTTAACTTTAAATAAGTGATCTTTATCAAAATCTTTTATCAGCTTTTGTTTATCAGTAAGGCTTGTACACAGTACCAGTACCAAGTAAATACACCTTGTGGGTGGAGCTTACATGCTCTCCCAATGTCCTCAAAGTGTCACGATGGTCCATTCCTTGCTATTTGCACAAGTGCATTGGACTGCTTCTTTTCATTTATTCCTTTGCTCTCCTTTGAGGCATACACACACGGATATATACAGCCGAGAGAAAAGCCTGGGGTCTGAGAACAGGGTTAGGCTATTTCCTCACCCACCATTGACAGACTGGTCTTTTTGGTGTATCACGTGACAGACACCTGTGTCAACCAATCATGGTGATTCCCGCTTCAACGATTCTGATCCGGTTGGTCCGCCCCTGGAGCATCTCAAAGCCGCGCAGTAAGGTCAGCCGGTGCCTCTAAATTGACAGCAGTATGTGTAAGTGTGTGCCTTGCTGTGGACAGGAGTCCCCCCCAGGGTGTCCGCCTGCCTAGTGCCAAGGACGTCACAGGGGCATGGATACACTGGCTGATTCAGGGGGCCCAGCACTATATTGAGTATGCCGGATTCGAAGTTATATGCTCCGGAAACATTATACAATAAATGGGAAATTTTACCCTGTGGAATTCCTCCCTCCAGGCTAATTTTGTTGTTTGGGGGTGGCGATCTATATTTCTTCAGGAAAATGGAAGGGGGTGCAAAGGGACATTTTGTCAGGGAGCCCAGAATATCTAGCTACACCCCAGCCAAAAGCCCATCGCGTTCTAAATTAGGTTGCAGGTACAATGTAACCATGTAAGGGATAACCAGTTAACCAAACCAAGAAAGACGACCAAAATGCTCACCAACCCCAATCTTGGGTAATAAGAACCAAGACACCAAGGTATATACTGTACATGCCTCGCTGCTGACAGCTTCCAGCATCCAGCTCTAGCTGGAATGACATATTTCAATTCCAGCAGCTCCCTGCTTGCCAGGTTTTAACGGCGGCTATGACTCCGCGCCAGAGCCACGAGGCTAACGGCAGAACTGCTCTCGCCAGTGCCGCCCAAATCTGAATAAGCATCACAGTGGGCAACACATTTGCCCCAATAGCGAAAACGCTTCACATCATTTACCCCTATCTGGGAGGCTAATGCTAATCACCATCTGGTGACAGGCTGCCTGTAACCTACTTTAGTAAGACGGGTGGCATGCAGACAAATGGTATATGAATAAATAAATGTTTAATATCCGAGTACAGAAGAAAGCTATATGAATAGAATGATGTGTGTCACCTCGGCTGAACGGATATTCCTGTCTGGTAGTACAGACTGCTTGTTCTCTGCGTGTTCTTCCGCGTGTTACGTGTGACTGTGTATGAGTGTGTGCTCTGAGATGGACCGACATCCCTGGGTGCCCCATGCCCTGTGCCCAGTGCATGCTGGGATACGCTGCAGGCTCACTGCAACCTGGTAAGCAGAATGGAAAGTGGATGGATGGATGGACGGATGGGTGGCAGCACCTCTGTTTAACAGTTTAGGTTTTTACCCTTAGGGGGGGGCTCAGCTCCCTGAAGAAATACAGGATGCCACACCCCAAGTTATCGACGATGAAAACGAAAATACGGGACAAATCACTAAATGGTTCTAGGAAAAATATTTTTCAGGAGGCCTGAGACAAAAAAACAGCGTGATATATGGATGGATGGATATATTCCAGATTACCTGGTGTTAGTAAAAACCACTGCGTCGTCTCCTGCATACAAAATCATTCCAATCAACATGTAAAAAATCCTTAGGGAAAATAAAAATAACTGCATGGAATTCATCAGGTTGAGCAGTCTGCCGTTTGCCGTGTTTATGTGAGATTCGCGAAAGCCGCCGGCACTGGGAGCGCGGTGGAGTTTGTGGTCGCCCATGGCGATGGCTGAGAAAGCGCACGATTGGCTGACCTGTCCTAAGCTGCTCTTCTGCGCTCAGGAGTCTCTCTTGACTCTCAGGAGAAACTCATTGATTATTTTAAAGGATAAGCCAGGAAAAGCAGGAAGAGAGGCAGTGGAGAGGCGGGGGGTGGGGCGCGGATTATCAGGGATACCCGGAGAGAGGTTCCTCGTAGTGTTTGATAAAGGGGAGGAAAAAGAACACTACAATAAATACCCATTTATCAATTTTTCATAAAGACTGATCCAGGATGATCCTGGAAGCACAAGGAAGTAAGGCAGGAAAATCCGTGGATGGAATGCCACCCTATCGCAGGGCATAGAATCACACACACAACTACTCACTAAGGGCAGCTCAGACACCACTGTCAGTGCTCTGTATCCGCAGGTTCCGCATCCAGCGCATTCAACTAATCATGGACTGAAAATATTCAAGAAAAAAAAAAAAATCCAGAAAGTTCCAAAAAGGATAACTCGAATTAGCTGCCCACTGGGCACTACGCAGAATACAAGCCAATGATGTGGTGTGGAGGTATATACCCTACGGTTCTGCCTGACGTCTCACTGCATAACAACAGTGCCACACATCTCGTGGTCTTACTACATCGGCACTGTACAGTAGGTACAGACGTTTTTTTCTTGTCGTTATTCCCTAAGCAATACAGTCTAACAACTATTTACATAGCATTTACATTATATTAGATATCATAAGTAATTTAGAGGTGATGTAAAGTATACGGGAGATACCGAGGCCCGACTGTAGCTAATACTGCTTTCCATTTACCTCGGAGCTTGGAATTCGAAGTTGGGAGTGACGGCACACCCGAGGTAACCTCGTTCCAGTCCGACGACGGTCGGAAAGCCATTTAACCATACCAGTTCTAGCCAGATTCATTGTTAGCCATTGGTAAAGATACCAGCTGAAAACAATGCATTATGAGGTATTCTGCACATACAAATTTAGCACAGAATGACCACCAACAGAGGTCTGAAAGTACTGTGTGTACGACTGACCCAGACACAGACAAGATATAAATACTAATAAACAGTATATAACTAAAGCTTCCACTTCGGTTGATGAAGGGTGCAGCCGTCTTGAATTCTGAGCTCAGAGTTGTATACCGTAAGTCGGAACTCCGAAATTCCAACTTCCAGTTCAAATGGAACGTACAATAAGCCGGTGTCCGTTAGGAAACCAGAGCTGGACTTTGAAAATTCCATAATCACAAAGCTAGGGGTTTGATTTAAAGCGTCGAGTGTAAAGGTGTGAGACCACCATGGTCGTATGTTAAACATAAACACCGACGTTCCTGGAGGTGATATGTGCACAGAATCTCCCTTCATCTATCTAGCTACATGTCCTGGTTTTCGTTAAACGAAGCTAACCCAGATCGTCGGCACATAAACAGGGTGTGGTTTGGCAGTTTCTGGCGGCTGTGCCGTCTCGCCAGTCGTGTGACAGACTCGCTTGCTCTGGGACGTGCATTACTTATGATTATAAACTGGATTATAGATTCCATCTAATTTCATTTACGGCAGAGAAAGCTCCACTGCAATAGGAAGCGGTCATGATTAGTTACTGAACTACTATTAAATTACACATATAACCAATATTGTTTCATCGTCGTGAAACATTTTTAAAATGAGTTCTGCTTATAGGAAAGTTAAACTCAAACATAAGTCTGGCGTATGAGATGAAACAGAGGCCCAAGTCATTCGGCATGCTTATCATCTCATCATGAGACTTAACATGCATGCTGTCAAACCACAAGTACAGGCTGGAGTAGATAAAGTGACAACATCACTTTGCCGCAATAGCGAAATCTAAATAGTGAACTCAGTTGTTGTTTGTTTTTCAGATTCACCTCCGGTTATGCAATTTATTGTTTGCTCAGCAAAAGGTCTCAGAGGGCGAAGTACGAGCAAATGTCGTTGCTATGTTTATGCTGTTTGATATAAGAACCAGAAAATAAATTGAATACATACAGACACATATATATACATTATACAGAAACACTTCTATACATACAGTACCAGTGAAATGTCTGGACAACCTGCTTTTAACGCATTTTTCTCCATTTTAGCTATATTACCACCTGGAATGCTTCTCCAACAGTCCTGAAAGAGTTTCCACAAGATCTGGGTACCGGTCAACTACCTTCCACTTACTCTTCAATCCAATTCATCCCAAACCAGCTCTACAGAGTTTATGTTGGGGGGATTGTGGGGGGGCAGGTCATCTGTCACAGCACTCCATCTCTTTGCTTGTTCACAAGACCATACGGCACTCACATAACATTGAGGTGTGCTTGGGCTTATTATCTTGTCGAAAAAGAAACGATTTTCAATAGGAGCGTCCAGACATTTGACTTGTACTATGTGTGTGTTTATTATGTTATTAAGTGCGTGTGTGTGTGTGTGTGTGTGTATGTATGTATATATATATATATAGGGATGTTTTGTGGGTCACTGGCCAACCCAGCCAATTTGCTTATGCCAGCAAAGAGGTGCAGGTAGCGTAGGCCGGAAGGGTCCCGCCAGCATCTCGGCCCAAAAACAGCCCACCTGGCTGCTGCGTGACGTCCACCTTGCCCACGGAGATGCCCAGAGCTTCGCTGCGTTTGCCAAACTCCTCCCAATCCGCCTTTATCTGCTGGCAGGCCGGACACCAGGGCGCATAACTGCATTGGAGGATTCAGAAACAGGCATCAGTACCGGCTGCAAGAGAACAGAACAGTGATGCCTTATTTGTCCCTGTGGGGAAACTGTCTTTTTGACTATATCCCATCTTGCTGTCCATGAGAGATACAGAAACGTATACAGAGTTGGGGGGGTCACAGCATAGGGTCTCCCAGCATTCATCACTCCTGGAGCAAATGGGGCAAAGGTCCTTGCTCAAGGGCCCAACTGTGGCATCAGTCTGTTGATCACAGGATTTGAACCAGCAACCTTCTGATCACAGACACAGAACTACACACCACCTCCACAGCCGCAATAGAATAACAGGAACTGAAGAGGGAGGTTATGAAATACATGTCCTCTACATTTCAGTGCACTGAACCTGCCATTTAATAAGGCATATAAGAAATGTTTAATAAGACAATAAGAAATGTATTGTATGCTGACTACAGTTATGCTAATACAAAGGATATTGAGTTATACCTACATTTGCTAATTATGCATATCTATCCAGCATTTTAATGACACTTTATAATTATGACTGGTTTATACACAAGATTAAATATTATGCACTTGATTAATGTTTCAGTTCATGCAAGTGTTTCATCAGCTTGTTCAAGCACAAAGTAATGAACAGAAAACTTCTAATTACCTATTTCATCAGGAAATTTTAATTATTGTTTTCAGTGCTGATTAAAAAATACCAGGTGCTTGATAACAGCATATTTGTCCCTAATCGGAATTGAATTTTCCCAAATTAATATGAAACATGATTAAAATGGAATGAATGACTGTTACTAAACAATTGTTCAATACTAAACAATTGTTCAGAGTTAAACAGTGTAAAGAAACTCTGCACGACAACTAAAGTAAGCTTGATACTAACTGATGAGTGACATACTTGAGTTTTTCTTTACTGTCTGTGGGCACTCATGGACAGAAATTGATGCGTTCTCAAAGCATCAATGTACGCCATGATAACATCACTCTACCTTGACTGCAATGACACCCCCGCTCACTCACCGACCCCCCCTCTCCCCCCCACCCCCACCCCCACTGTTTGCCATGTCTTTCAGATACTTTCACAAAGCTTTGACCTTTCAGGACTTTTCTTTGAATCGCAGTAGTCTATATATGTTACGGTATTATTCTGCACTGCCTGCAAGAATACTTCCCACAGTCCTGTTTGATCACCCTTAAGAGCTCCCCTAAAACATACCCGCTGTGTATCCTACATACATCTTACTGTACCTTCTATTTGGTGTTTACACTTACTTCGGCACTGTCCTTGAAAGGGTTTCACTCTAACACCCCCAAATATGTTGCTAAGCTGGTTTCTAAAATACTGTACATAGAAAAAGCAAAGCAGCCTATGGAATAATGTCTAAACTACTGCTCTGGGTGACCAGTCAGTATAGCTGCATAGCAGAAAACTAAAATATTTAAATTACAGTTTATTAAACATACACCTTCTATGAACCCCTACCTTGTAGAAGGTGATGCATTTAATCCAACTTAAAACTTTACCTGATCTTTGAGATAGATAGATAGATAGATAGATAGATAGATAGATAGATAGATAGATAAATAGATAGATAGACAGACAACTATGCATATACTCTGTGAATTGTCATTAAATAGGAATTTTGACTAAACAGGAACTGTAAGTATTACTGTATATCCGGCTGCTTTTTAAAATTTGTCCCACTGCATTGCTGTAGATTTTTGTAAGCAATAAAATCAGACCTTGAAAAAACGTTAAATGTTGCAAAATGCTGCAAATAGACATACTATACGATATTATATTTTACATCAAGTCGCATGTGGCAATACCGTAGTTCCGGGTTTGCGCGCCAGGTTATGGGCAGACTAAGAAAATGTACTAATAAATAAATTCTATTTATCTAAATGTTACAAGGAAATAAGTAACGACTTATTGCATTTCTGCATTTCCAGCACAGGCCTGACTGCATTATCCCAGCCATTGCATTAATCGGAGGAGGTTGTTACTGGAGTGTAACAGTACTCACAATACCAGCATCCACTGCCCCTGCAGAATAACCGTCCAGTTGCTGTCGGCGACAGTCTGCACGCTGTCACCAACAACCGGATTAGCAAACAGGGCCATGGTGACCGTAAAGCACGCCATCAGCATGCAGGGCATTTTGCCCCTTTGCCACGATTTCAATTCTTCGAGCCATTTTCTCCCCGCCATGTTGACGGTGCACATGATTGCCAGCAACCAGGAAATAGACTGTGCAGTTTTCTAAAGGTGGACCGCCTTAGTTGTTCTTCCCCCCTTATACAGCACAAAAACGTGTCCTTCAGCAATTTAAAGACATCGCTTAAAACAACCTTAAAAACTGCACCACACAGGACAAATGTCATTTTCAAAACGTTTTAGAGCCGGGTAAATCGCTATAAATCTCCAATTAATACGCCCTTTTTTAACCACCGGTAGCTGGAGTTCAGTTTCCAGTATGCTTACACCTCTTCTATGTTGGATGTTTGTTTTTCATCAAATGATACACTTACGCAGTTTTCTGACTTTATTTTACTGTTATCAGTATAATATTTGCAATAAATAAATATGCGTGTATGCTAGCTGTTATAGAAGATGGGTGGAAATATGTGGAAGAATACAAATTAATAGCCACGGCAGAAACTTACGTTGTTAAATGACCATGATTTCATAACCAATAATCTTTGGTAATTCCTGCACAAAAATCATAGCACAATATTACATCATTCTTATTCAACACCTGCATTGTAATGTCCCTATAACCAGGCAATTTAACTATTAACGATCAAATGTGGAGTGATGTGTTGGTATATTTAATTGCAAAGGCAATGACTTAAAGTTGGCAAAACCAAGCAATCACATTTTTGTAAAAAATCTACTCAGTACTCGATAAATTAGCACGTTTCTGGCTAATGCAGATACAAAATGACGTAGGCAAATGCCACGGACTGTAAGGTTTTATAACGGAATAACATTTTATATGTATATATATATATATATTTTATATATATATATTTATTAACAAATTCAACAAATATGGCATATTAGTTTATAAATATAGATTATAGGCCTATAGTTTTTTGTGGCTTAGAAATGGATATGAAATTGGGCCTGTACAGGCAGGACACAGTATAATATAAATATATAAAATTTGGGCTAGACTTTAAAATATGCCTTTAAAGCAATTAACTAAAGAAAGAATGGAAACTAAAATTTAAAATTTCAGCTGCTGAACCCTACCCTCCTCCTTCATTACCCTGTGCTTCAACCCAGGTTGTTAAATAAGGTGTTAATTAGACCTCCAAATAAAAGGCAGGTTACTGACAGTGTAAGACTGTAATAGTCTGGAATTAAGGCAGACATTTGTGGTGAATGCGGTCCACCTCTCAGCAGCTCACAATGCCTAGAAGCTTTCCAGAATTGGCATCTAGGTGACAGGAAATGATGTCACATACGACAGGAGGTGACAGGCATGTTCAATTCTTTAACATTGCATTGATACTGTAAGTCAAATAAAATTGACAGTTATTCCCAGGATAAATAACTAAAGCTCAACATGACCTCAGAGGTCACACATCTATACTACACTATAATATCAACATTAAAAAAAGGATATAACCTATAAGTACATTATATATAGAAATAATTGTGTAGTTGTTTCTTTCTAGGGATTTACTCTGAAGGGGTACTCTGTCTTGGGAAGAACTGGTCAGTGCCGGCTGCAAAATAAAATCTACTCTCCAAATAAATGATACAGAAGATCATTATATCCTCTTCAATCTGACAAAATATTCCAAAATTTACAGTACAGTATAAATAGAAAGTAACACTGAACTGCCATTATATCTACTCTTCAGGATAGAGCATTAATATTATTTGCCTCGTCTGATTACATAACATAAATTTTATAATTTTTTAACATTGCAGACACTGAGGCTTAGGAAACATCTCATTAACTTCTGCTACTCCCACTTAGATCTGAATATATCCTGCCTAATCAGCTGAATTTAGGTGGCACACGCATGAACTATGCTTGCACTATCTACATCAAAGGACTCCCAATTGCCTTTTTAGCTGAAGCATTTAGAATTAATGTCAGTAGTTTGTATTTCTACTCTACTTTCAACTAATCAGGTTCTCCAAAAACAGCCACTATGCTTTGTTAGACAAAAGGCTATAACCCTGGTACAGTTTTGTTCCCCAAGGTACAAATAACATTAATGAATCCCCAACAGTACAAAAGTCTTCCTCAAAATTGATTTCTGTACCTTAAAGACACATTTACCTACAGCTAAGATACAACTGGCAGACTCTTGAGGGTACAGCCCCAGTGAAAAGTAATTGTACCCACAACAAATTGATACTTTTTTCTGACAGTGTAACTATAGAAAAAAAAACCACACACACACCTGCAGGGAAGGGGGTCGCAATTTGCATGTTCTGCTGTGTGGATCCCCCTTGGGTGGCCATGCTTCCTGCTGTTTCATCCAAGTGAATCACTCTTTTTAAATTGCCCATAGCTATGCTTGTTTGAGTGCACGTGCCCTGCATTGGACAAGCATCCTGTCCCAAGTTTTGGGCTTGTCAATGAAATAACAGTCCACTGAAAAATCCAGTTAAATAACTTACATAAAAGATTGCTAATTCAAATATTAGAAATGTTATTTGACTATGCAGCCAATTAAAATGATATATGACTATATTTATTTATTTGTCAATACTTTAATAAACCGGGTTTAAATTAGTTTAGACCATATGTTGTGCCGGGGTCAGTTTTTTGTTTTTTTGTTTTTTTTTTGACCATGCCTCTGCCTAGACGGCACAGCCAACGGAAGCTAAGCTAATTGCTGAGAAGGGTGAGGTGTCCTGTTATGTTGCCAGGCAGTGTAGCTTTTAGGTTATCTTACTGCCTCACAACTGGGAGGTTGTATGTTTGATTCCCATCCAGAGCTGTGTGCAGCTTTTTCCATGTTCTTGTGACTCTACTCTGAATTCTCCATTTTCCACCTGCCGTCAAAAAAAAAAACACAGTTAGCTGAAATGTCCTGAGCATTCTGGCATAAGCTACAGGCTCACTGGGTAAGCAGATGGATGGATGGATAGATTAGTGGATGAGTCGAGCAATGGAATGATTTTATGTAATTTTTTCCTACTAAATGTAAAAGCTAGTGTATTTCGAGGTGAAATCTAACCCGTTCCACTCCTTGTGTTCCACCCACACCCCGAGGTGTTCCTCGGCCTGCTTGCTGAGTTCTTGTGCTTGCCTTGCAACAAGATCTTAAAATACCTACAAGAGAACACTGCAACAGCTCAAAGGCAAACAAACCAACCAAAATACATGGTTCTAAATAGAAAAGCCAAATAGAATCCAGTGATCTGGGTCAAAAAGGCCTTGGCACAGTATAAAACGATAAACAATTAAGATTTCAGTTATGTTGTGTGGTTAGTGCAATATTATGTAGAGGCATCTTGAACTTTATATACTTTAATAAGGTCGCACAGGATCACCAGATTCAAATAGCACATGTTTACAGTATATTAAAGACTTGGCAAATATCCTGGGGGAAAAGAACTTACATTTCAAAATTAAGTTTTGAAACATTACTGTTAAAATTCTTCTAAAAGGTAACTTCTGTATGCGGTGACGCACTATCAGATACATTTCATGACATTTTGACTATACGACTTGAAAATGTTCTACCAGTGTTTTCCCACGCAGTACACGGGAATAATTGTTGATCTTCCCCTTCTCTAGCGGCAGTAGGATTGCTTGACAGGATAAGCGCTAGGAGGCGTTAAATCCCAGCGAGCAAATCTGCCCGCTGTAAATAAGTCCGTGAACACCCACTCACTTCGCTTTCCCTTTGCTCTGCATCTTCCTTCAAATCGGGAGTCGCGTATCAGTCGTCCGCTCCCCTTGTGATTTTTCGTGTCTCACTCACGGTGTTTCTTTTTGGCGACAATGAAACGTTAGAGAGGAAGATAGTGTCCGCTTGAACCCCAGTGGTATATCCCCATTCCCTCTCTGCTGTCTATATATTTATATATATATATATATAGATCAGTTTAATTTTGGGGTAGAGAAAGCCGAATTTATTTTCAGTTTTTCTCCGTTTGATTCGGATTTAAATGAGTAAATGGCTGGGGCACAGCCCGGAGTTCACGCACTGCAGCTCAAACCGGTCTCCGTTTCGGAGAGTCTCAAGAAAGGCAGCAAATTCATGAAATGGGATGATGTAAGTATGCATACAGATGGCTGTGTTTGAGAGCTTCATATTCCGTATTCATTATTTTCATTTTTAGTTTTTCGGTAATTTCGCATGGGTGACAAGAAGAAACAAGTGCTGTCGGACAAGGTGGCAATAAACGACATTTAGTCATGAATACGTAACTTCTCGTAATATTGGGGGAACTTTAAATGCAATTGTTCGGAAGGTTAAAATAACGGAAACATTTTGCCACTGATTGCTTTATTTTAAAGTCGTTAAAACGGATAAAGTAGAATTTTTTAAAAATCACCTGTCACCACGCACCTATAAATTTACTTCAGATTTCCTAAGCCCAACTTGATGTTCTGTCAAGTCGCTGGAATATCATTCTGAAATACAGGCAATATCTGTTTGACATGTTTAGCAGCTAGCATGATTGTCGGTATCTCTGAGGCAGATCAATCCCAAGGCGTTATAGTAGCGAATATTAAATTTTCCTGGTCAACTTTATAACATCAGATCCCGTAATTGCCGATGCAATAACCAAAGTGCACACTTAAACACTTATCTTTAACGTTATTCGACCTGCCAACGCTATTTAAACAGTTTATATGTAATAAAACATTTAATATACGGGGCAGGCATACTGTATTCCATTTGTATCTAAATGAGCCTGTTCATCTTTCGATGCGCTCGCATTCACCAGGGAACATGACAGCCGAAGATCTTGGTTATTGAAAAGCAAATTCTTGGTGGCCAAGCGTGGATTTGACTTCCAGTATTGTCTGTTCATCTATTTGGCCATATGCAGTATTTGCGTCTCGCTGGGAATAAATATAAAATAGCGCGGTTACATATTATATAGCCTACATAAACGTATACGTTAGGCATATACTGTATAACACGAACGCGGATGCATCCGTCGGGGGAAATCGAAGCTCCACAAACGCTGTGCTTGATGCATACGCTGGCATTCCCTTCTTCACGCCTTTGTCCGGCAGAAATGTTTGATGTTAAATGGACCTTGGAAGACAAATGCGAGGCCATAGGGAAGACTCGTTTCCATACAGTACTTCATGATTGTGTGCTGTGACCTGTAGGATTAGTAGCAACTCCTGACAGTAGATACTGACAGCATGCCTGTCATATCGAGATCGATGTGCTTAGGTGTCCAGTGATAGACTGCCAACTCGCCGTGCCTAATCCGTGGTTATTAGGTACGTGTTATTTCCAAATACGTTATTTCAATACTGAAGGATCCAAAGAATCAGAATCAGCAGGCAAGAAACGGGTTGACAGAGTGAAATACTACAGAGTGAAAATGAGGAGAGTGAAATTATAATTGACACACATACCAGATGAATTCTTTGAAACGAGTTTTGGTTAGTTTTTAGTTCTTGATGAGCGTAGCATTTTATAATTAAGATCTATAATCTCGTCAGAAGAGTTAATACTAGTAGAAGTATGACGCTAAGATTGTTATAAAGGTGATAAGGTCCGATTTTAAACCTAGTGCAAGAATGTTCCTTTTAGCTGACGTTATCTTAATGCGGAACGTTTGAAAGAGCTGAGGGTATGTATATAATATGCACTCACTATGCGCTCTAACTGCATTGTGCATGTGGTTAGGTACCCTATAAACTAGTCTGAGCAAATTGCAAGACAACAGCATGAGAATATGAAACTGAGAATATATGTGCATGCAATTTGGAATTTGTTCTTTTCTTAAAACTGCATTCTGTTGGTCCAGAAATATCAGTGTATTATTATCACCCATGTTAAATTTTCTTTTTGGCCATTTAAAGCTAATTTGTGTGTAGAAATGAAACCAGCTGGCTGTTGCTATGGCAACTACCATGCTTTAAAATCTATCCTCTTTTCTTCTTCTGCATCAGTGAAAGATGCTTTCTGCTGGTTAACATTAAAATGCTCTGTTTACATGGTTAGGTCCTCCTAAGATTTAAAATAAAACAACAACAGATCTCGGAGGATAAGATACATTTTGTTCTGTGTGTCTGGATTTTGGGATATTCACCCAAAGATACTATTCCAAGTCGGAGTGAATCACGCATATGTGGGACACTTACGCAATGCCTGAGTCAAACTTAAATACTTGGGCTGGCAGCAAAATAAGACATGGAAAAAAATATATACATTCATTTATATACTGTATATGAGAGGAATGAGGTGACGTCCTGTCCTGAGTTATTCTCTGTCTTTCACCCGTGCCTTCTGGCACCCTGCGTAGGACAAGCAGGTATAGAAAATGGATGGATGGATTTCACATTTAAGAAATTCTCAAAGACTATTTCATTATTTTATATGTAATCAGGAATATAATACTTTTTAAAAAGCCAAACCAGACAAAGAATGACACATTATGGATGTTGTGTTATATAATAGGTAAAAATATAGAAAAGCAATAATTAAAAAAAAAATAATGAACATCCTTTTTTTTCTTTAATTCATGTCATCAGGATGCATCCACAGTGACCCCGGTGACCTTACGAGTCGACCCCCAGGGCTACTTCCTGTATTGGACAGATCAGAACAAGGTAAGACTGAGAGTCACATTCACAGAATAAGTAAGGGTCTCACATCATTTTGCTATTAAATTGTTTGTTGTAAGCTGAAATACAAGAGAAATATTACTGATTAAAGAATACTTTGTATCCATAAACAAACTTCCAGTCCTTTCTGAAATTTTGCTCCTGAAGCAAAGCCTGTACAAAAGGAAATTAAAGTAATGGTCTATTTTTAAAAAAAGAAATTAAAATGGTAAGAATTATAATTCACTTTATTGGCAAGGTCATATCTGTAGCTACTAGGGATTTGTTTTGGCACCAGGATGTTGCTACATTGATTCCAGAATAAATACGGTAAAATAAAACTGTCTTCATTTGCAGGTTTAGATAGTGATTCTTTTTATCAGTTTAGAATTTTTTTCTTTATTGAATTATTTTATTTATAGAATCTTTTTTGATGAATTTGATTAAAAAAATAAGCGCCAGTTCACCGTAATGTTTTGCTAATTTCTGTTAAAATCTTTGTGACACTGGTACTTGCTGTTAAAATATAATTTAATTTGTGAACCATCCATTATAATTCAGTCAAGTAATTTGTCAAGATATCTGTATGGGAAATTTTCTTAAGCACAGTATTTTGGAAAACAGGGTAGTAGAGCATTTAGAAAATGATAATATAATAATGGACAATAATTTTATTAACTGCAGCTTCACAAATCAACGTACATTACATAAAAAAATGCATGCAGTGAATGAATGGTAAATGCCTGTTATAGGAATCCTTTGAAGTAGTCATTTATGATGCGATTTCTTAATTGACATGTTTAGAAGCTGTAAAAATGCAGCTATTTGTTATAGACATAAAGTTCTATATATACATACAGTATACACACACACACACTTACCCAGTGAAGGGGCAAAATGGCTTACAAAGGCTAAACTGAATCATCTGACCTACTTGTAACAAAATCTCGCCAAAAAAGACTGACTAGTGTTGAAAGAACAAAATGCATTTGCTAAACCCGTATTAGCCTGCTGTCGTGTATCATGCCAAATGAAACCGGGTGTCTTCATTGAATCTACTCTTAAGCCTCATTTATCATGTAGCATCACAAAAATTCCCTTTTTGCCACAACTCAGTTGTTGGATTGGCAATAGAGGATGTATAGCTAGACCTGGCACACTGCAGTCATGTCCTTCTGCTCTCGTCCGGATATTACGATTTTTACTGTCCTTTGTGTTGGGTGTTTTGGAAGATTATTGCTGTAGTCAGCTTTGGCAAAATGAATGACAGACTGAACTCATAAAACAGTTGTTGTTTAAATATATGCTAAAGGAATATTTTTGCTCCATGACGCTTTTTCTACTTTACACTTTGCTAGAAGATTACACACGGTACTAATGGTCTGTATATTGTCTGTTGACATGCTGTTTATATATTGCCTTTATAGAAACAAAGGGGATCTAATTTTGTTTTTGCTTTAGCTGTGAAAGATATTCTGCATTCAGAAGGGCCCAAATGATCACACACGTATTGCAAGAAATATTTTTTATTGCTGTTGTATATCAAGAGATATAATTCCAAGACTGATTGTGATCAATGTCAAGAACTGAAAGGTAGAAGTTATTACAGTGTTGATGGAGACTGAATATCTGAAGTCCTTGAAGATTATATATAAAAGCTTATAAGGAAGATGTGAAGTTATATTGGCTATATGGCAACATAGAGGCAGAAAATACATTCATACAGTATAGAGTGTATTGCTTATCGGAACTGTACCTAATCTCTAAGCAATCGAGTGTCAAACAACACAAATGATCGCTTTGACCTGCTAATGAGCAGGTCGTTTGATATACTGTCACTGACCCAAGCTCCAGCTGAATGAGACAATTTATGAAGGAGAAATTTATAAAACTACGCAACATTAACTGCTACTTAAAAGCAGTTTTTGGTGTAAAACAAAAATAGACGGAAACAGAAACAGAGACAAGGAAGTACTAATTCCACTTTCACCACTGCTCAACAACATTATTTGAACATGGCTTTTGTTCCTGTTCATTATTTGAAATCATAATAATTAATTTTTTCACTGATGCATTATTCCAATGCACCCGTGTGGGAGTGATGGTAAAGAAATAAACAAAGATGAGAAAACTGCTACCTTAACACATGCTGCTGTCTTAATACTTTACTGTTTGTTTATAGTAGGGAAACTCTGAGTCTTCATAATTAGGTAGTTTGGATGGATGGATGGATCTTAATATTCATATATTTGTTATTAAAGGTTCTGACTGTGTGTCTGTTTAAATAGAACATGGATAAAACAGAGATAGGAGACCTGAGAGCAAAGATAAATTAAGCTTTTAGTTAAATCGGAGGTAAATCAACACAAGCTGTTTTTTTGTTTCATGTTCAGAAATGTACATTCAGCAATTTCCAATTGGTCCCAGTATGGAGCATTCCTGGTTCACTGTCAGCTACCTTTTTGACTGGAAGATAAACCTTGATGATATTCTGTCACCTGACCAATTACCATGCATTGTTCTGATGGATTATGGGAGATGGTGGGAACAGCTCTGTGCCACAGTACACCTCCTGTCCTTTACTAATGTACCTGTTCTAATGCCAACGGAGTTGCCTACTCTATAGTGTAGGCAGATGTTGCAGCAAGCCAACGAAAAACGGCAAAAGCCTGCTTATTCTTCATTTATCATTGTAATTTTGATCCCACAAATTCTAATTTACAGAGCTGTGAGCTTATTAGTCTCAGTGCTGTAGCTACTGAGATGTTTAAAGCTGCGTCTAACAAGCTTAAACAGCCAATATCACTTGGTCTTATAATACTCACATCATACTTGGTATCATGTTGACATTGTCATTCTGTGTAAAATTACATAAAAACATTTGTACACACAGCTGTGTCATTGTTCAATGGGTAGACCAAAACATTCAAGTACATTCTGTGCATGTATGTACAGTATGTGTGTGGGTGTGTGTGTGTGTGTGTGTGTGTGTGTATTATTTATTTTCTTTTGGAAAATTCATGGCTGACTTATTTTCTTCTCCTGGGACAAGAGTGACAGTAAATACGATTTGGATATTTGTATGTGGGATTTCTATTTTTCAGCTGACTGTTTGCACTTTACATCATACAATATTCGCCACACTTAAGATGTTGCATGATGCACTGTAGCATTTCTTGTAATTCCAGACGCTTGCAAAAAAATACTAAGCTATAATAATAACACAGCAAAATAGCAATAGTATATCCTCTGACTGTAGCTTCTGACACAACAAACAGGCTTAGAGTGTAATAGATTTGGGGTCATTTCTATCATGTTAGAATATGTTGGGCAGAAGTCAACATGACCCTGTGTAAATACGAATATGGAGAGAGAAATGTGTGCGTTCTCAGAGCCAAGCCAATAGCCATATGTTCCCTAGGATAATCTGGCAGCTTGATTTAAAACGGCTCACTGTTTTCGTCTGTCTCTCATACACTGGCCTTCAGGCATGCCACCGTCGACAAAGCGGTTTATTTTAAAACTTGTCTGTTTGAATGTTATGACTTCAGAAAGAGAGAAGACAGCATTGACAAGAGAAAAATATATTTAAAATAAAACACACACACATTTACACACTAACAGCCTCTGCCTTTGGTGGCGATGAAATAAAAATGACCGTGCCATTTCCTCGTCGTTACTCTTAAGTATCCCTTAATGTGACCTGACATCAGAGGGAGAATGTTTGATCCCTTTAAAATCATAATAAAAGTAACAATGTATCTGATATTTTCCCTTCACTACACAGATTAATGGCGATTCCTTTATGGTCATTTTTCCCACATTTATTTGACTTTTTAAGCAACAATAACCTTTTGAAATAAGGGAATAACAACCCTACCATAAATCAAATATTGGAAATACATACTCTTTCTCATTTTCATCTATCCTTTTTATGATTTTAAATCTTCAGCTTTAACATGATATTTCTATTGGTTAAGTGGTATACTTTGAGTCTACTGAATGTCAATAACTAATGGAACGCTATCACTTTTTAGATTTCATCCTGATTCTGCAACATAATTATTGTAAGGTATAATTGCATGACTGCTTTTTCTTCTTGATGCGGGGCTGTTTGGGCAGTTAGACAGGATGATATCAGAAACAGTCTATTCTCAGACACATCTCTCGTGTTACCAAAGAATAAAAAAAAGAAAAGCCAATATTTTAACCACAGTAAGATATAAAGTTTCCAGAGACAAGCAGGACGATCTCTGTATTTATTTTATCTATAATCTAAGACATGTTATTAAACATGGCAGACCTTCACCCTTACAGAGCTGGGGGTTCAAATCCTATCCCCCCGGTTCTGTAAAAGTAGAATGTGCCTGTCTCTCCCCACGTTCATTTTGGTTTCTTCCGACATTCCAAAAACATGTAGGTAGGTGACTTGCTCATGGTGTGCGATTGGGCGCGTGAGTATGTACATTGAAATGGACTGGCCTGCTGTCCAATGGATCGTTCCAGGCTCTTTGTGAGCATGCACAAGATAAGTATTTGGATAGATCTCTGGTTATATATTTTACAGAAGAAATGTACTTATTACAGTCAAGAAAGTTCAGTATTCATTATAAACATTATAAAACAAAAAAATCTTACATTGGCTTTGAGTAATTAGTACATGATCATAGTAGCTATTAAGTTATATACAAATAAGATCCGGCAGTGAGTGACACTGACAAGAAGTGTTCTGTACCTCATTTTTGAAAATGTGGGTTCTTTTGTACAAATGGCAGCCTGCTATTGCATTTTGGTCATAGATACATTATATAAACCCTCTCTGTTACCCACTCACATTAATTTATACTGACAATGCAGAACACAATGAGCGTCCTGTAAGGTTAAATTCAGAGTGGACATTTTTACAGGAAGCAGAAAGGTTTTTTTTTCTTTTTCTTTCTTTTCAAATGCAGTTATGGTCTGTTGTGAGGCCCTTAGCTGGATGACCTTGTGTTTTTTTTTCCCCT